CCCTGGGAGAGACATTACCCAGGGTGATGGGCTTCATGGAGGGTGATCATTTTGAAGCAGAGGGTCTGAGCTCAGTGTGCCTAGGACCCCTCCCAGCTCTCAGACACACAATGCAGCCACCCTCCCTTGTCTAAACCTGCACCATCTGCCATGATGACACTTGATGCTAAGTATTGGCCCCTGTTGTAGGCACCCAGAAAATGGCCTTGGAAGGTAGGAGCTGGAACTTCAGGGCAGTTTAGGACTGGAAAAGGGGGGCACTAGCAGGACAAGCTGAGGGCAAAACCTGGATGGCTCTTTAGCACCTGATTACCAGTCCCCCAACCCAGGTATCCAGTGCCTTGGCCTCTTCTTGTGTGCCATTTCTCCAGATTAGCTCTCAGCCAACTCACTGACTGCAGAGTCTCAGAATGGCAGGTTTGGGAAGAGACTGAGGTCAGCTTGGTGGACATCTTAGGACATCTTAGCAATTTCAGAGGATAATGTTGCCTTCCCTGCCTCATGCTGAGGGCTGTAAAGTCACAGCAATTCCCACCCTTCTGCAAACCTAGGGCTTTTAGGACCCTAGGACCTCACCTGAGTCTGAGCTGTATTAGAAAGACTCAATCAGACTGATGGATAGATCGGACAAATAGATTCACCAGTAATGGTGCTGTTTACAGTACTAGAACCATAGACTGTTAGCACTGGAAGAAACCAGAATGTCTTGGACCTGGATTTGCCCCAGTGGTATCACTAGGAGCTGTTAGAAAACCAGATCCATAGTCCAATACCTGTGGGCAACGCTGGAGGTGGCGGGGAGTAGATCAGAGTAGGCTCTGGACTCATTCCATCTGATTCAAAATTTTGCCACTAACTACCTGTGTCGCCTCAGGGAATCTGTGTGTTAGTTTCTTCTTCTGTAAAATTTGAATCATATCATATCCTTCTCTTGGAGTTAATGTGACAATTAAATGAGACAGTCCCCCAGGATTTCATTATGATTAATAAATGCTGGTCTGTACCAAGTTCTACAAGTCTCTTCTGCAGAACTTCTCAGAGGCATCGTGACGCTGACGCACACAGTGATCCCCAAGGCTTTGTGGCGTCATTGTTTCACATGCGCCCACAGAACTCATTTTACCTCCATGAGCGCTTGTTCCGTGAGATCTGCTTTGGGATTCCACACTAGGCTATTTTATCTTGAAAGAAATGATAAGCAAGAGGTGAGGTGAGCTGCCCAAGGTCAGCAAACAAGTATGTAACTGCAGAACTGGAACTAGAATTGGGGTCTCCAATCTCCCCTTTCTGCTCTTTCTAGTGTGCTTTCAGCTAAAGAATGATGATGACAACAATGACAATAATGTTATAACTAACATTTACTGAGTGTTTGCTCTGTGCCCACCCTGTGCTAGGCTTCTCAAAGTCATCACCTCACTTAGTTGCTAAGAGGTATGTAGGTGCCATGTCAGGTCCCTTGTACTGAGCTCAGAGAGGGCAAGTAAAGCATCCACCCTCACACAGCCCATAAATGGCAGAGTCAGGACTCAAACCCATGTCCGCCTGCCCTGAGGCCCTGACTTTGGTATACATCATGAATGTCTAATTGCAGGATTTTAGACCTGAGATGGAGGGGGACCTTGAAATAGGCATGTCTCTAGCCCCCTGCTCTTTTCCAAAATGGCTGGGTTTGGGGGTTCCCTGACTCTGGCTGTTGTCGCCAGCCCAGGCTGCAGGGACTGACTGCTCAGCACCAACCTCTCCTGCCAAATGATTTTGGCCAGAACTTGAGCTTTGGCGGCAGCTCTGATGGAAGCTGCTCTGGGCTGAGAGCCCTTTGTCAGGCTGAAATCAGGACGAGCTCTCAACGCGGCTCCCCTTGGGGTTCACTGTTAAATAAAGATGCTGCGGTGGTTCAACCAAAAGGCTTCTTTGTCTGAGGCCCTCACACCCCACGCGTCCTCTGCCCCCAGAATGCCGGTCTCTGTAGGCATAAGAGTCCCTCTGTTCACTGCTGGGCTGGTGAGCTGAGGCCAGCAGGGTCTGTGCCTGGGGTGGGTAGCAGCGCACTAATCTGGGAGGGCACTACTGCCCTGGGCCGCTGGAACCTGCCTTCCCCTCCCCGGCTGCCCTCCCCCTCCCTTTCCCCACACAGTGGTTGCACCCAGTACAGATCCCAGGTAAAGGGTTCCCTCCTGCCCTTGCTCTGTCCATGCCTGACTTCCCCCTTCTCTCTCTCCCTCTCTCTCTCTGTACATAGAGAGGGCCCCCCCCAACATATATACACATTTTAAAAAAGGAGAAGACTGTATTAAAATTGTAATACTCAATATATGCCAATAACAGAAGATGAATACAAGTCACACTGGGCACCTCTTGTAATTGCAGGAATCAAAGGTGCCTTGAGTATTACAAATTTAATATAGTTTTTTCCTTTCTTAAAATGTGTATACATTTTTTGGTACCCTCTGTTTATATGGGTCTGTCTCTCTCCTATTTTTCTTTTAGTTTTCCACCTACTCTTCCTGAGCGGGGAGCAGCATACAGTGTGTGTGTTAACTGAGAACTTGAACACTTGGGGGCAAGCTCCACCCATCTGGCCTTCAGGACATGGGGCCTGGATTCTGTCACTTCCCTTCCTTACAGCTTCACCCCAACAGTCTCAGTATATCCATCCTAATGGAGGCAGTGACGTCTACCTCCGGGACAAAATGGGATGACACATCACTGGATTTGCCCTGGAGGATAGGAACTATATCTTCTTTGTCCCTGTAATGCGGGGTCACAGCCCTGCAGAGCCCTTCCTGTTAGATAATTGGAGGAGTCAAGGGGCCGAGGAGGGGCCTAGTAGTTGCTGACTAAATGTTAATTTCCCTTCTTTTCTATTTCTTGGCTGTTGATGGGGCTTTGATACATTAGAGACTCTTGGAGAGCCATGAGCCCTAGAAGGAGTGGCTGGGAGCTGCACAGTGCTCTTGTCTACTGCCATCTGGTCTCGTCTCATCTTCCCTGGGTGAGGGTTTGACTCTGAGAAGGGCCCTCCCAGTAGGATGCCTGGTGTTGGATGCCACACTTTAGTTGTTATCTGACCAGCTCAGAGAAGAATTAAGCCATTGATTGCTTCGCTCCCCCTCAATACTGTGCCTCTATTCTGCAACCTAAGACCATACATGCTGTTTTGCCCCATTATCATGCTCCATTGCTAGGAGATATTGGGCTTCTACACACCAAAACCCTTACTCTTTTATCCATTTTTCATTCATTCATTTATTTAAGCAAATATTGAGCGTCTGCTCTGTGGCAGGTACTCTTCCAGGATCTGGGTCACAGAAGTTGGCGGAACAGACTGAAATCCCTGCCTGCGTGGGGTTTACATTCTAGTGAGGTTGTTCCCACCCTCCATGGGTGCCTATGAATAGGTCACACGGTCTCTTGGGGCCTCGTTTCCTCCTTCCCCCACCATGAGGGTCCTACATACATGGAACCCACTGTGCTGGACCCAAGCATTGCTTCTGAAGCTGGTCCTGCTGTGTGGGGTTTGGGGAGACACAGCCAGGTGACAGGGCCCCATCTTATGAGCCTAGAGGCTTCTCATCTAAATTTCTCACACTCCCTGTGTTTCTTGACTTTTCTAGTCCCGGGTTTTTCTCTTTCTTCTCCTGGCTCCACCCAGGAAGTTCCCACATCCCTGCTCCTTCATCCCTACTTTGGCAGTGACTTCTCCTGTTTGGACCAAGGGATGCCTCCTTGCAGCAGCATCTCTCCCATGCAGAACTGAGGGGCCCGGGGCCTTACTCCTACACCCGAGTCTGCCATGTAGGACTGGGCCAGATCTGGTGTCCTGTGTGGGCAGCATAAGCCCTGAGCATCTTCTGACCCCATTCCCTCATATCCCAGCAGCACTCCCAGTGTAACAACTCATAGGTGGCCCACATGCTTGCCCTGACTGTTATTCCCCATGCACTGCCCACCTCTCTCCTCTTTTGTTCAAACCCTGCAAACCCCATGAGCCTAGCTCATGCCCATCCTTCTAAGAAGCCCTTCCAAACCCCTCAGCTAAGAAGCCCACTTCTCTCCCTCCAGGAAGCCTCTGAATGGCCTAAGTAAGGCCCTGCGGGTCAAAGCCACCTCTCTGCCCCTTCCCTGTCTGTGCTATCAAGCCATACGGACCTTCGTTCAGCTCCTGGGACCAGGTGCTGAACTCCCTGCCCCCACACTGACCAGTAAATTCACACCATCCTTCAGAACTTAGCTTCAAAGAGTCCTTCCTGAAAGACCGTCCTCCCCTCTCCCCAGTCTTCTGGGGTCCTACCAAACTCCATCATAGCATCCCGTCCTTGGTAGCAGTTGTCAACTTTTCATTAAATAATTAATTGTGCCATCATTGTTCAGGGAGTGTGACTATCTGATGAAGCTGGAGTGTGGCTAGTGGGAAACAAGGCTGGGAGGATGAGACCTTGGGTTGCTAGGTATCTTGGACTTACTCTGTGGGCAGGAGGGAATTCCTTCAGGGTTTGTGCAGAATGACAGCTCCTGAAGGCCCTGGGACCTAGGGTTCACTAGTCATTGTTTTTATTTGGTTGACCAGTTATTTTTTGTTTCTGCTTTTTAACTCACCACTATACAAATGAGGATTTGACTGGTTTTTAGCTGATGGACTAACTGGTTGGTTGGTTGACTTGTTGGCTGGATGTTTGATTGGTTGACTGTTTGGTTAGGGTTTTTTTTTTTAGTTGTCTAATTGATTTACTAGTTGACTTGTTAGTTGGTTAGTTGCAATGGATGGAAGGAAAGGAGGGAGGGAGGGAAAGTTGGAGGTTGTTGCATTCAATAGCTGATTGGATCATTTGTCAATTAGTTGTCTGGTTGGGTGGGTGGTGGCTGGTTTCTTCCATTTCATCCATGACACAGTCCTTGAGCCAACCCTACTCCCATCACTGTGGGCCTGAATTGACACTGGTTTGGCTTTCCTGTTCCCAGATTGATCACACATGATACCCTTCCTTCCTGTCTTCCCACAGGCACTTGTCCGGCTGCCTCCCCACATTTCTCAGTGCGATGAAGTCTTTCGGTTCTTTGAGGCCCGACCAGAGGATGTCAACCCCCCAAAAGAGTAAGTAATGATTCAGGCCTCTCCTGTGTGCTTGGAAGGTATGTGTTGACGCTGAGCTGACTTGTGTTGAGGCTGAGGACACAGGAACACAAGCAGAGAGAGAGCCGGCAAGGCCACCCATGCTGAGGAATGATGGGCCAAAGGAACAGGGCACTACTGTCCCCCAGGGTCCTATTACCAAAGCTGGTGCCTCACTTCCCTACACCCTAGGGCTGGCAAGTGAGGGGGGTCTCTGAATTTGGGGAACAGGTTTTCCTGCAAACTCTTTTTGGCTCACAGGGTTTTTATAAAGAGCAGATTACAAAATACAATGGTCCTGCTGTCGAGATGTCACTCCAGGTTGGTTGGTGATTGCTTTTTGCTTCAGCTCCCAGCCCAGGCTGAAAACTCACCCTCTGAGGAACTCAGTAGTGCTAGGCAGCTATGACAGATTTTATGAACATTAAATAACCATGAATTTACGAAGTGCCTTTTATCTGTATGATAGATCAAATGCTTTTCAAAAGCAGATAAAATGCTTTTATAAGCATTAAATAACCATGAATTTACCAAGTGGCTTTTATCTGTATGATAGTAGTCCTGTTTACAGAGGAGGAAACCATGCCTCAGTGGGGTTAGGTGATTTTCCTGAAGTCATATAGCTGGTTTGGTATGTGACGGGCCAAGACCTGAACCCAAGTCTGTGGTTTCCAGTGGCTGGATGCTGGCTGAGGTTTCCACGAGTGAAGAGAAATGGGGAACAGCCCAAGTCTTTTTTGTCTCTGGAATCAGGATGCTTTGGGACTGGTGGTCAAGGTGACCCACCCAGCCATGCTAATTTGTTACACACACGACTGAACTCCATCCTGACGGCCACCCTCTCTTGCTCAGAGCAGTTTCCTCACCTCCAATCCCCACCATAGGTTCTCATCAGAGAGAAAAATCCAGTTTCTACCCAGGTGGGCAGAAGAAGGCAGCAGAGAAGAGTGTTGGTTGGGTAGGAGAGAGAGTGGGCAAGAGGACTGAGGGGATGCTAATTAGTCACCTCACTGTGGATCTAGTCCCTCAAAAGCTTAAGACAGAGTTTTTCCTTTTTTTGGAGACAGAGTCTCAAGCTGTCACCCTGGGTAGAGTGCTAGGGATGGCATCATAGCTCACTCACAGCAACCTCCAACTCTTGGACTCAAGCAATCCTCTTGTCTCAGTTTTTTTCTATTTTTAGTAGAGATGGGGTCTTGCCCTTGCCCAGGCTGGTCTTGAACTCGTGAGCTCAAGCTAGCTACCTGCCTCAGCCTCCCAGAGTGCTAGGATTACAGGCATGAGCCACCAGGCCCAGCCAAGGCAGTGTTTTCAACCTTTTTTTTTTATTTCACCAGTGCACCTGAACCTCTAGTTAAACCTCTACAGCACATTTGAATTATGTGGATCAAAATAAAGAATAAAAGAAAGTATATACTTCCTTCTTGTGCTTTGAACTTTCTTTTATTATTATTATTTTTTATTAAATCATAACTTTGTACATTGATGCATTTATAGGGTTCAGGGTATTGCTTCAATATACAATGTGAAATGCTTACATTGAACTAAGTAACACGTCCATTACAATTTTTCTGGGTGGTGCCTGTGGCTCAGTGAGTGGGGTGCCGGCCCCAAATACCAAAGGTGGCAGGTTCGAACCCAGCCCTGGCCAAACTGCAACAAAAAATAGCCGGACATTGTGGCAGGCGCCTGCAGTCCCAGCTACTTGGGAGGCTGAGGCAAGAGAATTGCCTAAGCCCAAGA